GTATATTAATTTATCAATTTTGATTATATCAAAATAATATTTCGCGACGTTAGGCATCGTGGTAGGGAACCTAATGAGTCGCACACAAAAGAGAATTGGAAGACTGCAAATTGTCAATTGATTAATTTAACAATCGTTGGATAAATTAATTAATTGAATTTGTTATTTATAATCCCGAATTAATTAATTGGATTAATTAATTCACGGACCGGGTTTGATTAATTGGATAAATTAAATATTGGACCGGACCGGGCCGGGTCCGTTTGGGTTTATATATATATATGCAGCTAGGGTTTGAGGTCCATATGTTATTCATTATTCTTGCTAGTACAATAAAGAAACCCTAGCAGTTGCTGTCTTCTCTCTGTGTGGATTTCATTGGAGGCTGGACAATTGGACAGCTGTGGGAGGCAGATTCAAACTGCTGGAAAGGAATAACGCGAAGGAGTTTGCAAATCACAAGTAAAGGTATATTTCTCATCACAGTTTTTATCTAAATACAAAGCTGAATCCTAAATGGGAATTGAAATTTGTTAAATTCCGTTGTGCATGTTTAAGTAAATTCCCAACACATGTCACGTTCGGTGCATATTTCAGTCTCAAATTATTTTTATTTATTTTTTTTCTGAGAAAATGTGTTTTTGATTAGTGTGGTTGAAAAACAAAGAAAAAATTTCAATTTACATGTAATATTATATTAAAAATAAGAGTTAGAACGAAAAACTGAATGTGAAAGGAGGCCAAACAGATTGTAAAAGTATTGGAGCAAATTCTACATTTATTATATTTTTATTCTATAGATGCTTAATTTAGAACCCTTTTTCTCATAGGCAAGGAAGGATGGATAAAATAAAAGGAAAACCGTAACTACCTTAGTTTAAGATTATGTTTTACGAATAACAAACCATTAGAAAATTTGCATAAATCATATCATAATTAACTATATTTAAAATAAAATAAAAATATTCATAATAGTTTGTGACCGAAATTTGTGGTTTTAGAAGAACGGTAAATTGGCAAGACGACGAAACAAAAAGAGAGAAGAATTCTCAATATGCAAGTAAAAGAAAAAGAAGCAACGAAACTATTTACAAATGTCTTCAAAAAATGACCAAAACATGGTGAAATGAATATTTTCATTATTTTACAATTATTTCCAAATTGACTATCAAATGTTCATCATAGAATATAAATTTTAAATTTTAAAAATATACATGAAATATGATCGGAACTCCCTTTGACTTCTATTCGATGTTGTTAGAATTTTCTATACTTCTCTCGTATAATTGACATCGGACACCTAAATATTCCTTTTTCCCCTCTACCCTCCTTTAAAATACCATTTTATATAATATAATAAAACCTCAAATTTCTTTAATTTTTCATAGGTTTTATCCACACCAAACTCTTGAACTTGTCCTATCTTCCTGGGCCAATGCCTCCACATCCCTTGACGTTGATTTTTCTTTTAACATATATACCTAATTCATTTTGAGTGCAGAACCCACAATAAAATCGCATTTCTCGACCCCACAAATCACTATCAAAACCAAAGACTCCGTCAAAATCTATGTCGTGTAGTTGAATACAATAAAAGCGCTAACCACTCACACGCGACATCAATGGCTCGCGTCAAAGAAGATGATACAACTCCCACCCACACCCGCTGTCCAAGTCACTTTCCCGTCACATCTAATTTTCCTTATCTGATAAACAAATCACATCCCAATATGGAACCCGCCAATTTTATTGTATTTGTTCCTTAGATTTTGTCCCAATTAAAGGACACAGATGGCCAACAATATTATCTCGAATTTTATTCAGGAATGTATAAGCCACTCCGCCGACGGGTTACATCAAACTTTACATAATTGATCACATAATGTCACATCACTGTATCATTTATCAATTTAAAACACAGTTAACTTTTTCTCTCAATCTTTTCAATCAATATCATTTCAAAACTAGGCTTAGGATTGAACAATCTAACAACTTCCACTCGAAGCAAATCTTCTACTTTTTGTTTTCAATCGAGCTTCAACCATCGCAATTAAAAACCAACTGATATTCAATGAAGGTAGACTAAACCGGTGCCATATGAGGAGAAAGGCCTCTACGGGATGTTACCTACGTTTTAAGTTATAATGTTACTATCTTGCCCAGATTCAGTAATGGAACAAACATGAATAATGATTCAGTAGAATGGAACATTCAGAAGAGAATGAAGTACAATTATAACATTACCCACTAGAGTCGGGTATCTTTTTTAGTACAGTGCATAGTAACAAATGAATACTCCAGCCATATTAATCAACAAATGATTGAAGTTGAATATGATTATCAAAAAAAAATATTTTAGCTTCAAATTGAAACCATGAACTTCGAAACTCCAGCATTGCCTCGAATAATCCCGCCAGCAAAAATAAGCGTCCAAAAGAATATATTCTTTCCTAGAGGTCTTGTTTTGTCTAATTGAAATGAATTCATGCTTCAATTACTAGACTCTGAGCTGATCAAGTTGCATCTGCTCGAGCCAAGCTCCTAAAACTGACTGATCAATAGAATCAATTTGAGAACTCGATTTTGAACCCTCGCCGGATGGGGCAGCACCAGAAATGGGTGCTGCAAACTTCTCCATCATCTCAGGTGGTGATTCTTTAACAAGAGATTGTACCCACGACAGGTCGGGCTCCTCTCCCTCGTTATTGGGTTCAACGGAAGTTGATCTTTTCATATGAGCAAGATCACCTCCATTAACAGACCAATCAACTTTGCCATTGGGGGCTCCCCCCCAATTTGTGGTCCAGGAATTCACAGGAGACCCAACAACGGAGGCACGGTTGGATCCAAGATCCCGAGAACTGAGGACACGCAGCTGTTGCTGCTTCTCTCGTTGAGCAAAGGTAGAAAAATTGGCACTCATTGGTGATGAGGGTTCCACACTTCTTGGTGACGACATCCTTGGAGATGACACACCGAAGGAAGCCTGCAACAAAGAGTGTTCAACATTTCTAGGGGAAAATATGTTAGTATTGATTGGTGAAAGCATGTTCTGTTGCTGCTGAAACTGATTGAGAACAGCAGATTTGTGCTTAGGAGAAAATGCACCAGAAGCCACTGCCTGATCAGAGTATCTTGGTGATGATGAGATCTCCGCAGAAAATAGCTCTTCAAGATTGGAAGGAGTTAGGGTATTGGACCGAGCAGAACGATTCAAAGCACCAGAGTTAGGACGTGGCTGTGAAAAACAAGCCAAGTCATTCAAAACATGTTGCTGAGCATTAAAATCCTGCAATACGTTCAAATCCTCAGGTAGGATGTCCCGGGCACTAAGAGAAGATCTGAGACGGCTGGATTGGATGTTGCTAGCAGGGAGATGAAGGGTTGGGACATTTTGCTGAGGCCAAGCTGCAGATGAATGAGACATTCCATTTGCAGTGGGGGACATGGGTTGTTTGTATGCAGGAGACACGACAGTGTGTGAAGAAGGTGACCCGGGCAAAAGGCTCAAGGCTGCAGCCATGTCCATTACACTAGCTGCAGTGGCAGCTGACCTTGGTGAAGGAACACCAGATCCAGTAGAAACATAGAGGGGTCGAAGCTCCTCCGGGGTGTGTGCAAAGAAACACACTTGCCTAGCACAGCTTGTGCCATCCTTGCAGAGTCTTGTCCGATACTGAGCCGGGTGTAGCCAGCACTCAAACACACCATGAGCATACTCGCACATATCCCCTCGCCTACAGGCACCCTTACGGAAATCAGGACAAGGGACACAACTGTAATGGTACTTTCTTGGGTCTCTTCTGCGAGCATTCTCTCCAGGGTGAACAAATGGACACTCGGTCCAATCATGAGAGTAGGCCCTTGAACAAGGCCTGACCTTGAATGAAAACATCCGAAACTCATCAGTTGAGAAAATGCTATTCTTGATGTCCGGAAGAGATGGATCCACTGGGTACTGCTTTTTCTCAGTTGTAGATTTAGCAGGGACATCATTCAGCTTGGATGCCATAGGAGATGATGCTGAATCTGATGGTGAACCTGGAGACATACTTTCTGGGGAAGAAGATAGAACTGGGGAAGAAGCAGTGGAGTTGCATATCGATACCCTTAAATTGTACTCGCCGAGTGATCCATCAGAAATATTATTCATGAGCAGTTCTTCAAGAGCAGCTTTAACACCCAGAAGTTTAGGAGGAACAACAATCACATCAACTGGGCGATGACCGTTTGCATCTTCAATATTTGGATCTGCACCAGCCGAGAGTAACAGCTTGATGGCATCAAAGGAAAGAACAGAGCCACCAGAGGCAGCACAGTGGAGGGCAGTACACTTGTCTCTACCACATATTCTATTCAAATCAACCTCCGGTAGAGCAACCATCAATTTCAAAACATCAATACTACCATAGGTAGCAGCAACCATCAAGGGAGTTCTATCCTCAGGTGTTATCTGCTTTGAACCCTTCTTGCGAATGTACCAAATACCAACCTCATCAACTGCAGACAAATTAAGCTCAATGGATCTCTTGAATGCCTCGACATCATTGTTGGCAGCAAATTCAAGTAGACTATGAAAGGAATCTTCAGTCTCCACAGATAAATTACTTGTGTCCATGTTATTTGATTTGGTAGCCATGGCGGATTGGGTAGTTGAACTTGTATTTGATTGATCTGGGCCACTGCACATACTTAAATCAGCTGCAGTCAACCAAGAACAGCGTTGTTTAGATCAAGAGCATTATAAATCTAACTGAAAGAAGAAATTAATAAAGTACTCTTTGAAAAGAAACTCTTTCTTGATTCATTCATTCTCGTGAAGCTCTGAAAATGTTTAAAATGCATTTAAAATTTCATAATTTTGAGGCTATAAAGTAAATATTGAATCATAACAATTCAAAGGATCATTCTTCACCAAGAATCAACAATTCCGGCACAATGATTGCAAATAGACCATTAAATTTAGTCATAAACTTCAAAACCTTAAGATCAGAACAAAATCCAAACCTCCCGTTCAACCAGTAAAATCAATCCAATTACACAAGGCTTCGAATATTTTTCGCTCATACATTGTTAAATAAAAAAAATAAAAAATAAAAAAGTATCATATCCCAACTTCCCCAAAGGAAATAAATACAGCTCGGGTCAATTATTGTATCAGCTAAACAACAACTTATAAGAACAAATTTAGCAGATGAAAATCATTGTCAAATACAAAATCTTTCGCAAAAATATTCATATTTCTAGCAATATAATTAATTATTACACATATCTCAAAAAGATCAAAATTTTAAAAGCGAAGATATATATGCACATAAACACTAATAAGCATTCGTGTGTGTCCTATATTTATATTCATCAAGAGTCATAGAAATAAGCACAGATCTACAAAATCAAGATTAAACCATGAAATACCTGTACCGCTAAAAGCCTATAAGCATAAATCAGCTCGCAAGTTAATGGATAAACCGAATTTACAAATAAAAATAATTATTTCTTTAACTCGCATATTCCGAGAAAAAATCGAAGTAAACCCAAGCGAAGTAAGAAAAGCTGCCCGCTAAATAAAGCTTACCGATGATCCGAAAAGAAGATTTTTTACAAGATCTATAAATGGGTCAGTCACTTAATCAACGATCTTCGGTTTGAGCTTGAAGAAGAAAATAAGAAACAAAGTTCGTAACAAATGGAGTTCCCACTGAAGAAATCTTCATCATACAGATAACAATTAATGAGGAAGAGATAAGAAAAAAGGATAACCAGAAAAAATGTTTCAGGTAACCATACGGAGATTTAGGGGAAGCGTGCTTATGTGTGTATGTATAGGAGGAGGGAGAAGAAAGATCGAGAGAAAGCGAAAGATGGGCCTTGTTTTGTGCTGCTGGAAGAGAGAGTGCAAGTGTGTGTACTACGTGGATGGAGGAGCGGTTTGAAATTGTGAATTGAAATATAGATGAAATACAAATGCAAATGCAAATGATGTTGAAATGTACGCGAAATGAAATGTAAATGCCAGTCAAATTCAGAGGATATTTTAAAGTGGGGTTTTGGCCGGTAGGAGCTAGGGCGCGTTTGGATGCCCTTTTTCTTTTTATTATTTCCACTTTTTCTTCACTCAAGTCGCTTATTTCTTTTCTTTAAATTTAGCCCTCTTGGGCTCCATTTTTCTAAAACTCATTCTCAATTACATAATTTTTCATAAAACAATTTTACGCCTAAAATTAAAAAAAAATTCTTATTTTTTACCCATATCTTCAAAAAAAATCAATATTTTAAAATATTTTTTCTCCCAATATCTCATTTTAATAGAGCCCAAACAGGGATATGAAGAAAGCAATTTACTAAAAAATATATATATATATATTTTGAATCCAATTAAACAAGGAAGTTGATTTTCATCATAATCTCAGGCCTCTTGTCATAAAAAAAAAAAAAGAAAAAAATTGCAACGAATTTTTTACTCTTACTCATTAAGTATTAGTTCAACCAATTGTTGTATCAATATGAATATTTTTTCTAATTTTATTTTAAATAGGGATTCAATAACTCATTTATTTCAAGTAAATTAGATATACACTTATTAAAAGGTCATTTGCACAAATAACGATGTAATTATGTAGTTGATAGAATGCAATTTTGACACAAATAAAGTTCATACTAAGCTCTGATTATCTTTACTAAAAATTAAAGAATAATATTATTTAGCACCAATGTGCTAAAACATTAGTGTACATAGTCACATTTGATAGATTTAATTAGATGAATCATGTGACGTTGTATTTAATGTCAACAACGATCATCTAAATTGGTACTTGATACTAATGATGTCAAATAATATTAGTGAAAATTAAATATTGATAAAAATTGATAAATTTATAGTTGAAAAATTAATAAAAATTGTGAATTTCGCCAATGATTAATTGAAAACAAATTATTTTTTTAAGAATTGAGAGCTCAATATGTGTTTCGATTGTGTTAGGAGGAAAAAGCAAAATACCAAATCTTAGTGGAAAATTGGGAGTATTAAAAAATTTTTAAAATAAAAGACCAAATCTTTTTATTTAATTACTACGGTCCAAATATGTCACGAGGGGCTAAAATACTTGTCTTGAAAAGAAAGTAGATAACTTCCAAACACGACCTTAGGTTTGAGTTGGTCAAGTCACAACTGGAGGCAGTGGCGGATTTTAATGGGATATCAAAATGGGTTAAATTAGGGGTTTGGAATCCGCCAATGATTTGTAGAGAGAGAGTCCAGGAAGTGGGAGAGCGGACGTCAGGCAATACTCAATTTTGATTAATTATAAAGTAGTCAATTCGGAAGAAAAAGCATACTGGAGCACTATTTGTACGATAAAGAAAAATTAAATTTTATTTAAAAGTTTTGACTTTTGCTAATTTAGCCTTCTATTCAACGTGTATTTCTCTGAAATTTTCAAGTTTTCTAAATGCCACGTTGACACGAATAACTTGTCTAAGAAAAAAGGATTGAGCTGTTTGTACAATCCAGCTCGATATGGGTTCCCTCATGTGAGAAGACTGTGACACTTATGTACAGCAGGCGCAATCCTAAAAAAATTCATAATTAAGCCTTTATTTGAGTCACATTATTGGAATGAAAATACATTTTTGAATAGCATATTGATGGAAAATGTGTGATTAAAAAATAAGAAAATATTTTGAATTTACGTGTAATATTATTTTATTAAAAAATGTGTGATTAAAATGATATCAAATTACTATTGAAGAATATATTTTTTTTCAAATAGTGTGGCTCAAACAAAGCCTAAGATTCATTATACAAAATTTAATGAGTAATTTTTTGACAAATTTGTCTCATCCAAGTTCTCGACCTTTCATTCCTTTTTCTTTTTTTTTTTTGATATCCAGGTATCTCAACTTACACTAAACTAAATCCTGAACCCCCAAGACCCTTGCCCCTAGAACCTTGGAGGGGGTAAATCGCGGGTTATGCCTCAATTGGATCACAGGTTCCCCTCACCGCCTGTACACTTCTGCGTACAAGAGATCCTCCTCCAAAATAATTGCTCCATACCAAATAAATCTGGCCGCAGGTTCCCACCAGGATTCGAACCTCCACCCTACCGTTGGAAGCAAGACAAATGTTGATTGATCCAACAGTTGAGCTGTGCCCCAGGGGGCGACCTTTCATTCTTTGTTGCACTTAAGGGGCGGATATAGCTATTGTATGAGCCCCATTTTGAAAAGAAAATATATTTTTGAATAGTAAATTTTTGGAGAATGTGTAATTAGAAAGTAAGAAAAAATTTCGATTCATGTGTAAAATTATTTTATTGGAGAATGTATGATTGAAAATGAATTTTGACAAAAAAAAAATTTAATGGGGCTCAAACAAGGCGTAGCATTGGACAGGCATGGCCCCAATTGATTTTATGGTTTTTTAATTTATTATCTTATACATTAGAAAAAAAAATTTGTGCAATTTTTTCTTTTTCATATCAGCTCTATTTTAAAAAATTAGTGCAGTCTTAGCTCCGCACTCAACCCACTTGAATCTTTATTAGACAAGTTCTTCCATTCAATTATTAAAAATCAAATATATATTACATATCTACTTTTGAGGGGTGAATTAGATAATGCATAATTTTGCTAAAAAAAAAAGAAATAAAAGTATAAATATGGTCGAGTTAAAGAAAATGAAAAAATATTTCAGATACTCGCATCCCAAATTTTGAGTTGAATGAAGATAGGCGCTCCTAGTTTTAGGTGACTATTAGACTTAAGAAATAAGTATTAAGCTGTTTATCACATTTAATATGTTACGATGCATGTTAAATCATTGCCCTTACGGAATTTATTTACTTTTTATATTGCTCGTTTGATAGAGCTTTTAAAGAATCAAAAGCTTATTTTGAACTGATAAATTATTTTGTATATATTTGGATAATTTTTTGAAAATACTTTATTTAACTATAAGACTTTACAATCAAAAAGTCAAAATGACGACTATAAAATAATAAGGGATAAAAACCAGATCAATTTCGTTGAGACGAGGCAGTAGACCACATGAAATTTCCATCCCGTGACCATTTACTAAAATTGCATTATCCCTCGCTAAATGAGAACAAGAAAACATTCCACAATATTTGTGAGAAAGGACAATCTACGTATAGAATGAATTATCCCCTTAGAGATCAGGGTAGAGCAAACCGAAAAAATAATATATATATTAATTGTTTTACTCAAAATATATTATATATTAGATGGATTTATAATTCAACAAATTTATATGCTTGTTGACTTCTATTGATTCCTTGGGAAAATAATAACTTATTTATATTAATATTTTTTTATTTAAAGAATGACCATGTTTGGCCCCCATTTTTTTATAAACTCATTTTTTTCAAAACTCATTTTCAGTTACAGATTCTTCCATAAAATAATTTTACATATAAATTCAAATTTTTTCTTATTTTTTAACTACACATTCTTATTTTCTCATTTTCAAAACAAAACACTATTGTAAATTGCATTTTGACCCAAAATTCGGGTTCAAACACTATCGTAATGAAATGTTTATGTTTAGAAGGTTTCAATATAAGTGTTAGAATGAAATTTAAAACCAATATATTAAAAAAAATTAATTGTCTGAAATATGTTATTCTATATAATCTTTTGGAAATGAAAACGTATCATTTGGTCTGGAAATTTTTTAAACCATTTTGAAATGATTTGATTTGATTTGATTTGAAAATGATTTAAAAATATTTCAAATCAAATCGTGTTCACCCCTATTACACGCTATCAAAAGATACCTTGATAATTTTAATTAAACGTGGGAATTTTGCCCTTGTTTGAGCCCCGTTTTGACAAGAAAATATATTTTGAAATAGTGATTATTTGGTGAATGTTGTGGTTAAAAAAGAAACTAAACTATTTTATTTACGTGTAAAATTATTTTATGGGAGAATACATGGTTGAAAATAAGTTTTGAACAAATGAGGGACAAACATATCTTAGAAAACATTATTTGAAAACTCTTTTTTTACATACTCATTTCTAACCACACATTCACACAATAAAATATTATACACGTCACGTCAATTATATTACTCAAATAAAAAGACAATTTATTTAATTTAGAATTTTCAGTACCCATTCATTTCATGCCTTCACGCTATTTACAGACTTGAAATGCGCATAAAATGTTCTGCATGTCTCTGGGGGACACTGTATTGTACTGTCGTTCGGAAAAAGACCCCATTGGGGGCTAAATTGCAAAGTAAAAAACATTTGAGGGATTTTTTATGCAATCTCTGCTTAACGTTTGGATCTTGCAATGAAGCTCCCTTCTATCTTTGCACCTCGATTATTAGATGCATGGAATCATTCAATACGGGATATGAGTTTGCCCCATGGAACTAAAAACTCAAGGGACATCTTGGAGGTATTAGAAAACGCTAGCAAAACTAATGCGGAGGGAAGGAGCAAGTCGGAGCCTTATTTTCGTAAGACCAAAAAAATTTAATGAAAATTCCTTCTTCTTCTTTTTCAACATATCAGTCTAGTATAAAAAAAAAATTTAATTAATAAATAAATAGATTGTCCCCGGGCTCCGTCCCTCCACGTAAATTAGATTTTCGATCAAAAAACTTCTAAATTACATATATATGATCAATATGAGATATATAAAATTCTTCTTATATGATTACATGAAAATAATAAACTATGATATAATAACCAACAAAATTGCACAATTAATTTCTACATAAGCTAAAAATGAGTCATCATAGCGAGGGCAAAGATACTTGGCCATGGCCATATTGGTGGGGCGGTCTGTGACCATCAAGCACGGCTCTTATAGTGAAGTGTTAACATTTTAGTGGAAAACAAAACAACAAAGGAAGAATGAGGCGAGTCACCTCATACGTCTACTTTATAA